AAAATAAGGTAGCGACTTATTTGGTGTCATGTATCAGATAACTGCTTTGAACCACATTACAATTGTAATAAAATTTTTAAATGCTAGGAAAGYCTGAAGAGCAACCATTTCCAGGCCGAAAAAAAAAAAAGAACACAAAAAATCCTTAATTTTCATATTCAAACTTATGACTTGTACCAGCTTTCCATGAATACACAAACAGAAGTAACCTAATACACAAAAACAAACTGTGAGGATTTAAGGAGGAATGTTTTATCCCGTAGGCATGAGGCTATCACCGCACATTGAGGGAAATAAAAATTCAGTTTGGAGTTACTTCAGCCAAGCCTGCATGAAGGGAATTTAGAGTGATGCTCCAAATAGGCACCAAGGAAAGATTTAAATAAAAGATGGGAGAGCACATGTTTTTCAGTGGTACTAAAACAATTTTAAAGGAAAATGAAAGAGGAAGGGTTTGGAAGAGGACCAAAGATTCCAAGACTGGTTGGAAAGCATTACATAAAAATGGTTTAAAGCTGTGGTTTGAAATATTTATTGTCTGGAAAGGCATCTGTTCTGGCCTAGGGAGGGCTAGCTCCAACTTTCTTCTGTAAGCTACAGAAACCAAGCTMCATGGAAGAAACCACCATGACTCTGCGGTACTCAACAGCAAAATCTGTAACACGGGACATATGTTAAAGGTCTAAAAGGCCCTGTAGCTCTTTGAGGTATAAATTTGCTTTGGCCATTATATTACCTAATGAAGTGCTTTGATATGAAAGTTGCTATATAAGGGCAGAATATTAATGCAATATGCTTAGTTTAATTTGGACATGCCGTAGTAGGACGGCTCCCTCACTGAGACATCTGCTAGGAAACTGATTTGGCCAAATCACAGCAAGTGATAATGAGTGCTGTTTAATCAAGACAGTATTAACATAAATTTTAACTTCTGTCAAGTAGCTTAATGGTGAATTACTGAATGTTAAACAGACATGGAATTTTATATTCTGGTCTTTCAGTAAACAAGCTCTCAAGTAAACTGGAAGTTATAGTTTCTGCAGTGTATAGTCAAAAAGTCAAGATACAATCGGAGTGAGCTGAACTCGAGTGATGCAAGACTTAAGTGATGCAAGACTGGGTTTATCACTGAGTTTATTTTCAACTTTAAAATGMTTTAGTATTGGAATGCTCTTCACTTTTGAAGTAGGGAAACAAAATATGAAATCTCTAATACAAATGCATCTGAATGTACTTCTGAAATTAGAAATTTATAAAAGGTATCTTCATTAATTGTCACCTTGTGGGTACATGTGGCATTTCTGACTTGGATGCTTGACCTTGATCAGCTTTTTATATCCTATACAGGTACGGATCAGCAAGTTTCTGTCCTTTGCACTTCAGAGAGGGCTGTAGATGCTATGCCTTTCCTGATAAGCAAGTTATGTGATTTCATTCATTAGCCACTAATTTGCCAATCGACTCACCTGCTTTATCATTCAGTCAGAGAGAAATGCAGCACTTGGGAGCACCTCGCTCAGAACTACCAGAAACTGGAATATTGATGGTGCAGAGACATCACACACRGCCATCAGGCAGAAGCCTCTCCTGCAAAGGTGCACTGTAGTCACAGATACTGCTTTAGCTATTCACTCTTAAAGAAGGCGAGACTTTAGAAACCTATATTAATAATTGACTTATCCAAGTGAAAAGCAGAGCATTTTAAATCATTCCACAACATGGTGAATCTGTTAAAAGCATTTACTTCCAAGTTCCCCTGTTTCAACATAGAGCTGTAGGTTCCTAAGAAAGGAAAGAGCAGTAAARGAGATAAAAAGCATCACAGAGTTCAGTACCACAAATGATTTGCTTTGCAAGAAAATATAACAGTGTAGTTTTAAGGCCAGGAGACTAGGGAAGAAGCAAAATAAAACAGTTGCAAATCAGCCTTGTACTAAGCACCCACTTAAGGAGATGCCTTTTGAGCTAAGGATCAAAAAAAGCCATCCCAGACTAAGATATCAATATCAAACCATATGTTTTTATTCTCACCCATGTCTAAAAAGGGCAAGCTACTGATCTACTGAAATGCTGTAAAAATTGAAGGCTTCTTAGCCCTCCAGGCAGSATATTAACACTGGTACAGGTACTTCAACGGGAAGGGGAGTACCTTGCTCCCCACAAGCAGTATCATGGCTTAATGCAGCTATATAGGTATATGCACGCTTACTTCAGTGGAGCARTGAAATATAGAACATTTCCCTTCCTACAATACTAGAGTGAATGCTGTGACAGAAGATTACATTTTGTAAAGTGATGTGCAACACACACAAAGTTGTCTATGAGCAGAAGAACATAAAAATGTGCATCTGGTTTCAYGCAGTGCATGGATACACGCTCAAAAAAGAACCTGGGTCCTACACTATTACAAGACCATGTGCAAAGAGCTAAGAAGATGCTTGCAAACAGTTGCCCGAGACCCAGGACAGTCTTTTTGCAGAGACGGCCTTGGGAGAGCAAAGATTTTCAACACAACATTTTTAACACCGAAAAATGCAATTAATCAGGACCAGTTTCTTCCACCACCACTTCATAATCACATCGCCCCTACCAGGAGTCACACTCTGCCATCCTCCTCCTCCTCCCACCATTGACCTCCSCAAGCCGAAATCTCGATGGGGACGAGAAGGCCAAGCTTATTCCGCAGCTCTAATTCCCAAAGCAACCGCCACCTTGAGAGAAGGGGGGAAAGAAAGTGTGTGCTGTTGCTGTGGAAACAGAGCACAGAACTACTGCTAATAGAGCACGGAGCCCTGGGCGGATGGAGCAGGTTGCGGARCAGGCACTGGAACCTGCTCCGGCAGCGAGTGGCGCTGGGAGCGGCAGATGTCTTCATCCCTGCCCGGATTTCCCGGGATCTGGGTCAGCTTTTCCAAAGGGAGCCTGGGCCTCTCTGCACGTGGTGAGACAAGGGGTCTTTGCTGGCGAGAAGAGCGGCCACCCCCGAAGGCCCCGAGCTGGGAGGAGGAATTGCCGAGCTTGCTGGAATGCCTGGTGTGTTTATTATTAATACAGAATCCTGGGCGTGGACTTTAAGAGGGAACCAAGAGTTTGGGGACTGTATTCGGAAGTGATCTTAGGAATGGTAAAGGAGAAAATGAACCTGTAATCCTGTAGGCTCCTCATGCCCTGTTGGATGCAGGGGAATAAACAGAACATAAACATATCATTAAAACCTGCATGATAATTAACACACAGCAATGGCTGAATTAAGACCAAGAGGCAAGCTCAACATCAGACTGTTGTAGCTTTTGAGTGGCTTTAAAATAATTTTTGTGCCTAAATCTGTTGTTTTGCTTTTCTCCATTCCTTCTGAGCTCCCTGAACTGTATAACCTGTTCATAACCCTGGACTGCGTAAACTACAAGAGCTGATGCAAGAGTCTAATACAAACACGTCAGAGAGGACAGTGGTTAAAAGCAGCTATAAAGACAACATCACATACAAAAAACAGGCTCCTGGATTGTCAGGAAAAAACGGTTACCAAGTGCCAACAAGTAAACATTATAGAGTTCCTCCTGCTACCCAAGATCAGATGAAGCCAGCAACTATGTGATGCTCTAATACTGATTTTGACAGGACGTTCTACACATTAGATGGAGGCGTCAGCACATCAGAAATTTGTTTAACTGCCCATTCCCCCAATTCTCAATCCTCCGCCCTTCTCTCATCCCCACAAAACGTCTCATATTAAAAGAAAGTAGCCACTGGCAAGCTGGAAGAATGACTTACTTTACAAGGGTGTTGTGAAGCTTAATTCGTGTTTGTAAAGCCCTTTGTATTGCGCCTTTCATCTGCTGTGGGAACCTCACAGTATTATCAATAAGGTCTTTTCTACAGTAGAAAGGCTTTGCTAAAATAGCTATATTAGCAAATCTGCCCAGCAGAGATGTGGCTTACACAGGGGAAAAGAACATCTTTTGCCAGAACAGCTAGTACCAGTTGCTGCTAGAAGAAAAGCTCTGCTGGCAGGAGCACATTTTTGGCGGTACCTGGCTGCATGAGGCCTAGGGGAACCGCGAGGGAGGGAGGTTTCTGCAGGACCTTAACAACACACAGCGACGCTGCCAAGGCCTGGGAGGGAGCTCAGGCCTACGTGTTCGGGGGGCTGCAGGTGAAAGACGTGCACTTACTGCTCCCACAAAACCCACTTTCTGCATTCGTTTATTTACGTGAATTAGCTAGAAGTAAGGGTCCTCTGACAAGGGAGATTACCTTAGCAGCAAGGAGATTTGACTTCTTTTTTTATTATTTTTTGAAAATTTTTGTTGTTGCTATTGTTCCTTTACAAAACAAGGTGTAAAGGGAACAAGAACTAAAATAAAGCCTTGGTCATGTATATTCTGCCAAACAGAAAAGGGCATAGTGTTAATGGCATTAGAATTAATGTTTAGATACGATTCATACTGCTTTGAAGAACATGGACTATGGTATAGGAAAGCACTTCATGTGATAGAAAGGAGTCATTTTTTACCTGTACAACTATTTTCTATCAAAACTCCCTATTTTCTCATTCAAATTTTAAAAAATGCCAGGTACCCAGTTGCTGTTTATCTCCTAGCAAAGGTGCAGAGGTGCCACCACATCAGGCTCCCACGTAACTACATGCCCTTTTCGGTAGATGGGTTTAGTCTTAGTCTGAGCTTTTTAGGTTGTCTGCAGGTACCAGCAATGGAGCATCTGTGTTTTGCCTTTGCATTTTTCTGCATCTTTCTGGAACTCTCCTCCAAATCTTATCAGCTAAGGGCTTGTTTACAGAGGGAAATGAAGAGCATCTGTCTCACATCTCTGGAAAGCTTTTCTTAAGTATTTTTCTACCTGTATTTAATCGAGAAGGGAGTCTCTCCACATCACCTACTGTATCAAAGAGTATTCCAACACTCATGGCACCAAACCCATGCAATGCAGTGCAAGTGCTACGACAGAACCATATTTCAAACCCGTGGCACGTCACAAATTACCTAAATATTTTTCCACAAACTGATTCAGGTGAGGCACGCTTGAATCGGGACTGCAGTTCAAAATCCAAAGACAGAACTTGCCTGAGAAAGGAAAATAAATCATTTAGCAACGTTCAAACTACCTTTTCCACATGAAAGAAGGTTTCATTACCACAATTTAAGCACACATATTCTGTTGCTTTCCACTGAAAGGTAAAGCTAAATCTGCTTTGAAGTGCAACTAAACATGAAACCACATCTTCTCTGTTACAGGGCGAATTAGAAAGACTAGCTACCTAAATCAATCAGTAAGGTAATATTTACCAAAATATCACTGCAGAATCCAGAGCCCACATATCAGAACTGTGCAATACGTTGTTTYGTTACAGCTAAGAATTATTCATGGGACATCTCAAACTATAAGCAAAAAAAAGCCACRTACTAATTTATAATCGTTCCACATTCTCAGCAACCTCTGCTCACTCACTACGAGCCACTCTCTATCCAGCACGGAGAGCAGCACTGGCCTAAAACAGACTTGTCAGTGCCGGGCTAGGGTTAAAACAACAGGGTTCAAATGAAGGCTAAAATACATGAAATATTTTCCACATTAGCTAAGCCACAGACCAATATGAAGCACTAAAAGGCTAAGCATTCTTGCATCCTGTTAAGCAGCACTTTCTTTTCATGACAGCATTAAATAGGGCTGGATCAGGTTTCCTTTTCCCACTAGCAGCCATTCTGCATGTAAGCAGCTGCTCCTAATCAATGAATTGGATATTAACACGTTATATCATGTGCAGATTTATGACACGGCACTACATCTCTGCCAGAGACCTATATATACAATCTGCTCTATGTACAGAGCTTAAGAGCCACGTCCCACCCTGCACAGCCTCCCACAACGTGTGCAGGATCCCCGAGGACGGAGTGTGGCCAGTAGACACATCTACCTGCAAAGGCTCCTTCCTGCCTCCTGGCTACGCAGCAGGAAAAACAAGCCTCAGGCAGGCTACACTGCCTGTGTTTTTTCCTGTCTCAGTCGCTCCTTTTCTTCCTCTTTGTCCTCTCCCAGTTATCACCTTGTTTTCAGCTTCTGTTCACGCACACCTCCATTCCTTCCCCGCAAACGAAGCTGGCAGATGTGCTCTGGGTGCCCTGGGTGCTGCCTGCGCAGCACTGCTCCCTTCCCGAGCGTTCCCTCAAGGAAGGAGGGATCACTGGGAGCAGAGGTCTTGGAACAAGCACACAGAGGAGGAGGAGGAGGCCAGGCTTCCAGGGGAAGGTCACCTACTCTGAAATGCCCCTCCATCACTGCCAAAGATATCTCACATTTATCACTCTCAAGTTCAAGTACACTTCAAGGCCAGCTTGGTTTCTGCCACTTCTCCTTGGGAGGAAAGCTCTGCTTGAGGCTTTCTTCCTCTTAGCTTATGAAGTTACATTACTGCCCCAGGGTTTCTGCAAGGTAGAAATGGAATTTGCAGGGTACAAGTGGCAGTTACATGGTGCTATCAGCTGCAGTGTCCTACACTGAAGCATGAAACAGCCAACACAGGAGAAATGCACCATTGAATGACAAGAAGTCAGCTCTGCTCAACACCAACACAGGCAGCGCCGCACAAGGCAGGAAGGCTGAAGCTGGGCAGGCACTGGGACTGGAGTATTATCAAAATACAGAATTTCTTGTATTTTAAATAGTGTTTAACAAGTCAACCATAGGCACACATACACACAAACCTGCAGTACAAAAAAACAACAAATAGAAAAAGCAAAACTCTGAAGCAGAAATCAATCAGCAAGGCTAGGATCTGTCTGTGTGCACTGTTTCTTTGAAGGTGAAACACAGGCTTCAAATGCAGCAGCTATTTCAAAATTCCCATCTTYCAGTATATATCAAGGCAGCAGATCAGGCTGCTTACGCACAAGGCATCTAAGACAAAGTACTAGCCCTCACTGAAGAAAATACAGATCCAGCGTTCTGAGTATAAATTGCTTTGTGGTCTCCAAAAAGCACCACTGAAACTCCAGTTTACCCTAATACACTAAAAACAATATACTTGGGTATATTTTTTATTGTTCCTTTCATAAAGGAAAAAAAAAAAATCACTTTYGAGCAGAAAATGGGCCTGGAAATGTTACCCTAGGACTGAACRTGGAAGATACTTTAAATGAAGGCGTCTCCTCCAGAGAAATCCCTAGGAAGACTTCCTGGAAGCAGCTGTGGGCTCCGGAGCATATGTCAGAGATAGCATCTCACAGGGAAAGCAGGAGTGGGACCTCCAAGTCAGCAGACAACCCCACTGCATGGAAAGCTGTAATGTGATCTTATAGCAGCTGATCTGAATTGATTTTGGAGTCCAAAGATTTGAAGAAGTGAAGGAAAAAAATTAGTGCTGGGTAAATTTCATCTCATCACCTGAATGCCTCTCTTGTCTTGTTGGTCGTGCTGAAGTTTGCTTTGCCATTGTTTGCATCTTTCCTTTTCAAATAGCCTCCTGCAGCTCCAAGCTAAAGATCTTCTGGAGCTTCTAAGCGACAGCTGCAGTATCTTAGCCATCTGTTTAATTTATATTTGCTAATGCAGCTCCTGCTGTTTTCAACTGACAGTTTTTTCCTCTCTTATTACCCCCACACGGGAAATCAYTGCACTTGCCAAAGTTTCTCTCTAGTCTCAGATGTCAGACCAAGTCTGGAGACAAAAGGTGATGAATGAGGCTCCCGGGCACCTCCTTTCTGCTTTATTAAAATTATGAAAATTCGTCAGGGACGGGGGTTATGTTCTTTCTTTGAAGAACAATTATGAACAAAAAGGMAGGAGGGACTACAGAAACAAAAAAGGAGATAGGAAAGGGGAAACCAACCCTCTGCTCTCAGCACAGCCCCAATCTGTGGGGAGGTCAAGGCTCTCCCAGACCCYTTCTCAGGACTAGAATATTCCATTCCCTACCCATTTCCTAAAGCTGTGATTCAATCCCTTCACTCACCTGTGCCCACCTACCACAAGCTGAGGGTCTGGCTCACTACCCACTCTCCTTCACTCCTTGCAAGCCACCTGCCTGCTGCTTTTGCTGCTTTTTCTGGAGCACACCAGAGCTTGGATGCATCCATGACTCCTTGGGAAATGGTGGAGCACCAAACCCAGATCTTGCAGTGCTTAATGTGCTTAAAACTTCAAACTTTAACACAGATACCCCTGTCCTGTTAAAGCTCATGGCAGCTGAAAGGCACTGAGTTTGACCATGCCTGTCTCAGGAGATGGAGCGTAACAAGCCAACATCACCGTCCAGCACCGGCTAGCCCCAAGCCAACAACAGGGAATATAAATACTGAGAAAATGAATACCGAGGGGAAAAAGTCATTTGAAGCAGAATAAAACCATAAAAGTCTGAAAATTCATCACTACTCAGCTTTACGTGATAACTTGTACTTTATGGTGTTTCGTAAGTAGCAAGATTGAGAAAGTGAAGAGCATTTACGTCTAATAACACAGCAATAGATTACTCTCCTCAGCTGCAAAAGATCTCTTCTTTTTATGCCTTTCACCAACATATCAAACCAAGACCTCAYGAAAGGGCGTTTTTCTCCCACCATCCTTACCTACCCTGCTACCCAGAGGCCAAAAATACCATTTATATCAATTTCCTTCTTACCTCAAAACACGTAAGTACAGTCTGAAGAAGAGCTCTGTTGTATTAGATGCAAATTCAGTAAGAACACCAGGAACCTGGGGAGAGAGAAGATTGTATAAATACATATATCTGACTSTTTAAGGCACCAAAATATTCCAAATTGGAAACATCTGCTGCTAGAGGTCTCTGATCCACTTGTGGTTCCATAAAGTATTGCAGATTTCCTTCAGGAAATGAAAATAAACTGGCCCTGGTCCTGGTTCTCCGACTTGAGGACAGGGCTGCCCACCTGTGAGCGCCCCAGGGGACGGCACCGGGGCCTTCCCCAAACYGCCAGCCAGGAACACAAGCAACTGCATGGCTAGAAATGACCCCAAATTGCAAACGAAAGAAAAACATTAAAAGAAACTACGAGTTAGGCACAAAGAACTTCTTTTTTCAGACATATTCATTTGCTTTCCTTCTTTGCCTTTGTGACAGTAAGAATTAAGAATTACTGTCACATCGACGAGCCTGTGATCACAAGGTCCAGAGGAAAACAGCCTCCATCACCCCTGCTGCTCGCTCCGYTAGGCATCGCTGCGATGTCAGAAAGGCTGGATCCAGGATTGGGAAGCCCCTGTGGTTCCCACTGAAGGAAGGAAGCCAGTGAGCAGCGAGCTCCTCCCCAAAGCAACCAAAACGTGTTTTGCACAAGAGGACTGGCTGCTCCTTAGAACCTTAGAACATAATAAATCTGACTGTGGAAAAAAACCAAAAATTTTCGGTAAAGAGACATGAGGTTTTACGACTAGGAAACAGGTTTAGTTTCTTCCCTCTCCACCACCACAGCCCAAGGGCTCAGACGTACTCTCCTGCCCCTCGGAAGTCATCACAGCAAATATTGGCTTTGCTCCCCCAGGGAGGCTGCCCCACACCTACCTCCCGCTTCCAGGCACACGGGCCTCCTGTTGTGCTGCTTTCTGCTTTTTGATAACAGAAGCTTATCCCAATACATGAGGTGACAAGAAATCCCTACGCTTTTTAGCAGGAATATGGTTGGTTTGTGTTTTCCACAAAATACTTCTGTCGTTCAACTATCTAAYACATACAAACCACACAGGCCCACAGAGTTTCCTAGGAAGGGAAAATAAAAATTGTTCCTTTGCTGTTTATACTGCAGAAATACACTTGGATGGACAGGAGAGCTGCCTCGAACCAAACGAGTTTGCTTTTGAGAAGAAAACCATCACTCAAGGGTAGATGAATTTTGCAGCTGAGCCTGGTACAAGATTATCTACCCTCTCAATCTTTTCCATAAATGCTGTGAATACGGAGCGTCCCAGGAGAGAACATCTGAACTAATCACTTTACTCCGAGCTTGGGCAGACACCACTCGATGCGGCCCTCAATCAAGCACTAATAAATTAAGTCAGCTCTCCATTAGCCAGCAGAGCGGGGATGGCAGTGCCCAGATAACGGGAAAAGCGACGGGGAGCAGGAGCTCCGGGGCTGGCGGGACCCCTGCCCAGCTCTGCACACTGCCCCAGGCTTAGGGCAGGCTTAGCTGGGTACAGAGCCAGAACTGGGCCAGCCCCGCAGGAAACCCCAGCCCACTAATCTCCCAAAACAGAAGGGACAGCGCCACAACCTGTTAGTGCAGAGCCGCTTATCTCTGCTGGGAAATTGCTATCAGCAGTTCCACGTTTTGCAAAGCAGAGCCCCAGCCCCAGCCTCTCCGCTGGAGACGCTGGGGGCTCGGGAAGGCCAAGCTCCAAGCCCAGCCCAGGGCCCCCGCTCTGGCGCGCGACACAGAGGCCCCGGCAGCTCTCGGGAAAGCCGCTGCCTCCGTCGCCTCGGCGCTGAGCCATCCAAATCGGCGCGCGCCGCCGCGGAGCCCGCGGTTCCTGCAAGAGCATCTTCCAGCSCCAATAACCCCACCATGGAAAACAGTGTCAGTTGGAACAATTAAGGGGCAGAAAGGCCCGTTTTGGCACCTACAAACTAGCTCAGAAGTCAAAAATCAACCTATTTTGATTCTGAAGGCTATCTGCAACATCTCCCATACAGRATCGGAAACCCTTCCCAAGCACTCCCCAAGAGCCGCTTCTGCCAAGAACATACAGCTGGCATTGGGAAGGAAGCTGCATTTGGATCTCTCTGCTGCCCAGCACAGACAAGMAACATGCCTGCTTAGTTAGGGCTGCCCAGCCAGATAAAGCATTTCAAAGATGCAAAGCATGACAGATACCTGAGCCCTAACTCTCAACTCCAGTGARGGAGGGGACAGGTATCTGTCCCAAAAAGGCTAATTCTGGTTCACTTTGAACACAGAGGCAATGGCGTCCAACAAATTCCAGGRAATTTTGCTTATGTTACCTGTTAGAAAACCAAGTCTTGCTGTTCATCTGCACTTTAGGTGCCTAGACTTAAAACGAAYAGGCAGATGCAGCTGCTCACAGCTGATAAGGCCCCCTGCTAGTGGCATCTATTTATATCCGTGATCCAGCATAACAAATCCATGCACTCTAAACAACTACTAGATAAAATATGGAAATGGAAAGAAGGGACTAGATGCCAAAGCCACCTCTTTCAGTGTATAAAACACTTTCCCCATAAGTAAAGGATCAATKCCAGGGTGAAGGTAATAAAAGACAGCACCGGCCCCCCAGCCCAGCCGGGACCCCCAGCGTACGGAGACGTTCACAGCGTGCAGCTCCACGTGCTGTGTGACACTGAGATACCTGACCTAGAAGAGGCTGCAACTTCTGCTYCTCAGCTGCAGCGCAGCGTTAAGTAACTCTCAGTAAAGATCAGGACTGTATTATAGGGCCGAGAGCATCAGGGCGAAATTTCACAACCAGCATAAGCCAGTGGGAACGGCTATCACCCAAATACGTGCTCCCATAGCCTTGGCTGGTCCCAGCACGCTGAGCCCAGTAAGAACTAATACAGCCCCAAGTGACRATCAGCCGCTGAGGTTTCTGAGCTGACGCAGCTCACCCTGTGGGCTGCTTGGCTGCAGAAGGCAAAACAAGGCAGAAATGCCACCCCTGTGAGGGCAACACTGACCGTGCAGGAGGAGCATGGGCTGAGCTCACCTTTCACAAGGCAGTATCTCCATTGTACAGACTGAAGGTGAAGGCCAGAGACAGAAGCTGGTCACACGCAGAATGTCCCATTAGGTCACACTCTCCCAAAGCTACTTGTTTCTTCAGAAAATTCTGGGTTTGGACATGCATTTAATCAACCTTCAGTCAATATGAATACTGTGTGTCTATGTTATCCAAGGGCTGGTGCWATCTTAAAGCTGAAGAATCACTATGCTCTTGGGGTTACCAGTTACTTCTTTCCAGACTTTTCAACTGCAAAATGCTAATAAACTTTGAYGGCATTTTCGGAGTGAAAACCCTGAACCAATGTGAAACACAAGCAATATTTCCAAAAGTTCTCTCTAGTTAGCTTCCCTGGTCTTATTACCATGTCCCTCTGCTATCAAGGAAGGTTAAGCTTTATTTAAGATAGAAGCAAATACTACTCTCAGATACCCCTTGCTCTACTGCTCTTATCCTTCCTCGCACAGAATAAAATCCAAGTATCACAGCTGGAAGAGAGCAATACACAGCCAAAAAAATGATAAACGGATTGGGGAGCRGGAGCAAAGCAGCAGGAAGTGCTGGTATCAACTGCAGCAGCTCTGGAATGAGACTAAAGGAGAGGATTTCACAGTGACACATCTGAGCTGGCCAGAAGCTGCCTTTGAGGCACACATTGCACCGCTCCACATGATTACAAGGAGCAGCCCTCTAGTTGCACCCAAATTCGGCTCTGTCCCACACTGCTGCTGCTCCCGGCCTTCAGGGGAAGCTGACATCAAACAGCTACTTGGGAATACAAGGCTAAAGGGAAAGCTAATTACGTTAAAGAGATTAATTCCACTTCTTGTCGTGCTTCCTGTGCTGTATTTTGTTTTGCAGCTTCTCATTTTGATTTTGTGTTCTAGATTTGGGTGATGGCAAGCCTACAGCAACTTCAGTTGCTATGCATAATGTAAAATAAATTGATAAACAGCCTCCGGTCTGCGAATCCTACGCTCCACATACGCAGACAATGCACACATCAATACTATATGCATGAGGTTTGGCACAAAAATTCATGCAGAAAATTAGTCTCAGGCCCTCCCACGGCAATTTTCAGTATGAAGCATGCCAGATGCAACGGAGCGACCGTGATAGGGCTTACATACGAAAGCAAACGTGGAGCACCTGAGATTGCCAAGCCATTTAACCAGACACTGACACTTCTTGCACTCAGGCACTCACAGTCACTCAGGGGTCAGTAATATYGAGCGGAGCAGTGACAGAGCACACCCGAGTCTTTGAGCTGGAGCCACGTGGCTCTAGGGCAGCAGCTCTGCCAGGTGGGATGCACGAGCTCCTGGAGCACTGACCTAGCACGCAGAGCCTGCCGGCTCCCCTGGAAATTGTCCTTYCACAACGACTCTTATCAATGCTCCAGACAACAGCTTAGACACATTAAAYCATAATCTTTAATATTTTAACTGTAGACATGGCCTCTCACTGCTCACACACTCAGGGCATTGATTTTATTGTATACCTATAATTCAGCTTATATTTTACAGAGGGCAAAAGAAGAGAGATTCCAGTAAACGGCACTTGAGATAAGAGAAAGAGCAGCCAGGAGTCCAATGTTCCTCTGCAGAGAGGCCAGGACAGGTAGGAAAGCAAAAACCAAACTAGTTTTCTGGATGCTAAGGTTCTAGGGATAACTTGCAAAGCACAAYTCAGCAAAGAGCCGTTTTCCCGAATCCGTGGCCGGGCAGATCCAGGGTCCTGCTCAGCTCCCAGCCATTCCCCATGGCAGGGACTGGACAAAACCTCATCYTTGCCCACAGCTCGGGCTCAGCGACGAGGCGGGATGAGGTGAGGACCCTGGTGCCGTGCCCGGGCAAGCGCTGCACAGAAACACGGGCGCTGCTCCCTAAGCCAGAGGGGAAACAAGACACACACAGAGCCACGTGAACAGCAGCCAGGAGGCTTCGGGGCCGGGGAGGACAGTTCTGAGCGTGGCTTTGGGYCCAGGTGACGGGGCAGCC